TAATTCAAAAGACCCCTGGGGGTGGAGGCTGGCAGGTGGCATGGTGGTAAAGGATGCTGGACTCCCACATGGGTGACCATAGTTCGAGCCCCGGACCTGGCGGCTTTCTCTCTCTCTCTGTCTCTCGCTCTCTCTGTCACGCTGTCTCTTTCTGGTTGAATTAAAAAATAAATAAATAAAAGAACCCTGGGCAGATGGGTTGAGGGCACTGATGGGTGAGGCCTGGCCTGAGCCAAGCAGGGCCCAGAGTTGGGACTGGGAGGCCCTGGGACAGTCCCTCAGGAGACAGCCTGTCCCCCCGTGGCACCTCAGGCTGTCGGGGGGGCACGAGGAGCCTCACCATGTAGGTCATGGTGGACACCTCGTAGATGACAGACTGGGCCGAGAGGTCCACCACGCTGAGCAGGCCTGTGGGGAGAGGAACGTGAGTCACGGCCCCCAGGGAGGTGCCCCAGACCCCCCTGTGGGACGCTGCCCTGCTTCGGGGGCCAAGGGGCAATCCACTCTGAGGGTGGATTTGCAACGATGACAGTAACAAAGCGACGTTCCCACTGGCCCTTGCCCGCCAGGACTGTCCTGCCCGGTTCTCATGGGGCTCAGCTTTCCAGATGAACCCCTGGGTGGGGGGGTGGAGGGCGACATGAGGGGGGGTCCAGAATCAGGCCCCTAGAGGTCAGGTCTCAGCCCTGCCACCGATATTCTGTGGGACTGGACAATCTCTCATTCTTGGGGCTCGGTTTCTCCTCTGTAATTGGGCAGGGTCTGGCCTAGCAGGTGTCCCGGGCCCAGTGCAGCCCCTGGCCTCACGCTGTCCAACTGTCCCCTAATGAGCATGCGTGGCAGTGGTTGGTGACCTGCGCCTCCCAGGCGGGCTGCGGGGTTGGGGGGCCACGCACGTACCCATGAGGAAGCTGCCGATCTCGTAGGCCCACCACTCCACGCACATCATGAGCATGCTGGGGACGGCCAGGGCGAAGAACGGGCCCCAGTCCTGCAGGCACTGGCTGGACCAGCCTGGGGACAGACGCCCGCGAGCTGACAGGCTGCATGCCACCCACCGCCCTGCAGGGCCCCCAAGACCCCTGGTCCTTCCTGCTCTTTTTCCACAGGAGGAGCCACTGGGCTGGGGCTGGGGCTGACAGACCAGGAGCCCAGGCACGGGGGTAGGTCTCCACCCCACCCTTGATGCTGTGGGATCTTGGGCAACTGAGACCCCCCTGGGCTGTGTCCCCACCTGGAAGGGCTGTCGGCAGGGCCGGGTGAGATAAGACGCTGGAAGGGTGGGTGAGGCAGACAGACGGGAGGGGCTTCACATGTGACTACCCGGTCCCAGAGACCCCACGCCTCAGAGACCCCTTCCTGAAATGCCTTCTGGAGGAGCCCCCATTTGGCAGGGGCCTTTGCTCTCAGGAAGCAGAAAAGCACAGACAGCCCCCAGGTTCAAGTCCAGGGTCCGACACGACTGGTTTTGTTGTAAATTACTGACAAATTACTGTCTCTGTCTCAGCCTCCTAGGGGTGAAGCAGTACTACTAAGGTGTGAGGTTTGAGGGTCCGGCATGCCGGGCGCCCTGCCGGCTGCCCTGGGTTTCACCTGCGTCTTACTCTCGCCATCCTGACAGCAGGCCCAGGCTTCCCCCTCCCCTCCCCAGGGCTCTGCTCCAACACACCAGATGGGGGACCCTGGGCCCTTGGGGGGAGGAGGGAGTCCCTGAGGGGCGTGGAGTCGGAATCCACCACAGGGGCCTCCTGGGCCCTCCACCTGCCATCCTGTCTCCCCGCTGGGGCCAGGGCAGCCCTGCACCTGCCCTTGCACCCGCCCTCCGCACCTGCCCTCCGCACCCGCCCTCCGCACCTGCCCTTGCACCCGCCCTCCGCACCTGCCCAGGTCTCCAGGTGCAGCTTCTTCAGCACAATGTAGAGGAAGAGGAAGGCGGTCTGGGCGAACTGGGAGGTGAGGTTCGCATAAGCCGAGCCCCTGGGGGAGGGGGGAGGAGAGAGGCGGGGCTGGGCCAGGTCCCCTCTGCCCTTTGCTACCCCAGGCGAGGGCTGGCTCCCTGATGAAGCCAGCCCAGGGCAGGAGGGACCAGCACCCCAGTCCTGGAATCAGCCTCGCCAAGGCCCACAGGCACCTGTGGCCAGTGTAGCTCCCAAAGGCAGCCGTGACTGCAGGGGCCTGGGCCCCGTTACTAGGTTCCCCTTCTGGGAGCCTCGTGGTGTCCTCCTCCTGCCTGACCGGCCCAGAGCAGAGGCCTTGTGGGAAGTTTTCAGGAACCAAGGGCCAGCAGCCCCTCCCCACACCCCGAGACCACACCCCCATGCTGGAGGCAGGGGCAGGGGAGGGTGGTGACTGACCTGCCCTGCTGGGTGGGGAACTGGGCGGGCAGTGCCCCGGGCTCACCTGATCCCCAGGCTCAGCACGGACACCAGGGCATAGTTGGCCACGCTGTTGACACAGTTGCCCACCACGCCACTGAGGACCTGGGGCCAGACGATCCCCTGAGATAAATGGAAACCGCTAGAGGGGTGGGACACAAGGCTGGACGAGGCCGGCCACGCTTAGGTGGGACGGAGCCGGTGGGGACCCCAGAGCGGGTGGGTGAAGGCCCAGGCACCCCCTCAGGGCACAGGGCAGTGCCTGGCCGCAGGGGCTGTCCCCCCATCCACAGGCTGTACCTGATTTTGCAAGTATCTTGCGAGCAGCATGTAAAGGAAGGTGGCCTACATCGAACAGACGGAGAGCCATCAGGTGCCACAGCCCAGATACCAGAGCACTGCCAGGTCTCCCTCCCCAGGGCCGACGCGCCAGAGTGTGGGGCCACTACTTCACCAGAGTCTGTCTGACACCCCCCGGGGGACCCAAGGCTCCTGTGGCCCCCTGCTGTGCTGGCCCTGCCTGTGGGGGACCCCTCGGGGCTCCCGTCTGCTGTGGGTGTGTCAGCTCAGAGCCTGCAGGCTTTGGCACACCTGCACCTGGGCCGGGGCCGCCAACCCTCAGCTTGGGAAGGGCCCAGCCCCGATCCACAGGGCATGCTCTGGCCTCTGGAGACCAGGATTTGGAGGGAGTGACCTTGGGCAGGAGGGTGGCAGGTTGAGCAGTGCTGGCCGTGGGCAGCCTCCATGGGGCTGGCGAGCCCCTGGCAGCCTGAGGAGGACAAGTGTCAATGAGTGGGGAGGGCAGGTTCCCTGTTCCTTCCCTCTGCTAAGGGGACGAGGGTGGGCTTCCGCTGAAGCCCGGCCCAGGACCTACACCTTCCCGGCCCATCCTCCCAGCACTGCATGTTTTTCAGCATCATACCGTCATGGGGTAGTGGTTAAGGTGCTGGACTCCCACATGGCCGACCGCGGTTAGAATCCTGAACCTGGAGACTTAAAACTCATGCCAGGGGTGTGTGTGTGTGTGTGTGTGCATGCATGTGCACACATGAGCCCCAAATCCCAAGAGGGCAATGGAGGAGAAGGCATTGCCGGTGGCCATCCCCCCTGGGGGGTGGTTTCTCGCTTTCAGTCTCTCTGGAAAGCATACGCACCCTATGGCAAAAATCTCTTTAAAAAAAAAAAAAAAATCCCTTTAAAAAAAAAAAAAAAAAAACGTACAGAGCTGGAATGAGACTGGGTTCAAATCCTGGCTCTGCCTTCTATAAGCTCTGATTCTGGGCAAGTTCCTTCACGCCTGTAAGCTTCAATTTCCTCCTTGACGATGTGACACTGTTAACAGCGTGTGTGTGCACTTAACGTTTTACATACATATTTACACAACTAGTATTGCAAAGTGCTTACCAAACAGTGCCGGGCACACCCTGGGTGTCGGGCAAGCATTACGTAAGGGCTGTTGCCATTGGCAGTTCAATTTCGCAGCAGCGTGTTATGGAAGGGCCTGGCTTTGCTTGCAGAGGGGACACCACAGTGATACCTGTCCAGGACGTTCTGCTCTGCCCCAGCCCCTGGCCCTGTTTGATGACGCGCCATCATTGGGTGAGGGCCACAGTGTGGTTTATAAGGAAGGCTCGGGAAGACGGGGTGGCTTCCGAGATATGGACGAAGTCCGGAGCTGGCCAGCCCCAAAGAAGTCATGGCACTGGCCTCACAGAGAAGCAGGCGTGGTCGGGGTACACCCCGCAGGCCTGCGCACACTGCCCTGTCCAGCCCTCTCCCGGAGAACTCTATCCCCTGGTGCCGTGGAGGCCAAAGGGTCAGTTCCAGAGCCAGGGACAGACTGGCATCCAGCCCTGGCCATCATGGCGGGTGTCATTACGCGGCAGCACTGGGTTCCCAGCAGAAAAAGATGAACCCAGTAAAATAAGCAAAGGATTTGGAGCATTCACGTAAGAAAAACAAGTAACAAATATGAAAAAATGTGCCATTCATTAGCAGCAAAAGAAAGGCATGTCAAAACAATTCATTTCTAGTTGGCAAAGATCGTAATAACAAGACTCCACGCTAATGAGGTTTTCCACCAGTGAGGGTGGAAACTCTGCTTTCTTTTTCTTCTTTTTTTTAAGGGACATTTTTGCTATAGGGTGTGTGCACTTACTGGAAAGACAGAAAGTGAGAAATTGCCCCCCAGAGAGTATGGCCACACCACAGTCCCTTCTCCTTCGTTCTCCTCTTGGGATTCTGGGCATGCACTCACACTCACCCTGCATGAGTTTTAAGTCACCGGATCCGGGATTCAAACCACCATCAACTACGTGGGAGTCCAGCAACACGACCATTACGCCATCTGCTGGCCCCAGAAACTCCTCTTTCAATAATCCCCGCGTGCCCACACCATCCACATGTGCCCGGAATATTTTTCAAGCTACGGGGCCTGGATTCAAACCACACAGTGGCCATGAGGGCTCTGACTCCCTTAACTACTAGGCCACAAGGCCAGCTCCATCGCAAAGATTTTTCTAGAAGAAAGTCTTTTTTACAATAGCGAATACAGGGCCAGAGGGTGGCATAGCGATAAAGGTGCTAGCCTTCCACATGGCCGACTGTGGTTTGAGTCCCGGACCTGGAAACTTGAAACTCACACCGGACATGTGTGCATGTGTGCCCAAAGGCCCAGGAGGAGAATGGAGAAGAGGTTGTGGGGTGGTATCCCCCGAGGGGTCACTTCTTGTTCTCTCTCTCCGTCTCTCCAGGGGGTACACCTGCCCTATAGCAAAAACCTCTGCCTAAAAATAACGACAGCGGTAATAGTGAATATGTAAATAGGGGATTGGTCGCTGAATTATAGCACAATTGTGATGCCGGGTCACCTTTGGAATTAATACCGTGGGGGGCTCTGTAATCGGGAGGAAAAAGAAATGATACCGGAAAACTGTAACAACTGATATCCTCGTGGGGCAGCAGGGTTACGTGTAATTTGAAAATCTTCTGCCCCTTCCTTCCGCATTTTCTCCAACAGTTCTCGAATCAGAAAAATGCATTATGTTTATTTTTAAAAACTCAATCTGCACCGATTAGAATCGAAAGTCCTCATGGCCAGGCCGGCACCTTGGACCGGCGCCCGTCCCCAGCAGACAGAGAAAAGCAAAACGCTGGGACCTGGGGCGTGTAAGCCTCCCTCCTCCACACCCAGCACACGGGTCGCCTACCGGGAGTGCTGGGATGAAGATCTGCACGTAGTCCTGCGTGAGCCTGCAAGAGATGGGGAAGCTCCAGGGCTGACCTGGCCGTGGCCCGGGGGGGCACAGGACCTCCTGGGCTGTGACTTCAGGAGCGGGGGTGGGCTGCCGCCCAGAGTACCCTAGACACGAGGCTTGAGCAGAGGTTTCCCCAGGCCTTACAGACCTTGCCGGGACAGTGATGCTTCAGCTTCGGGGGTCACCACTACCAGAGGCCTAGCAGGTGCCCCGAACCCGAGGCTCCACTACCGGGGCCTGAGCCTTGGGAACTGAGGTAAGGAAGTAACACGTGATTGGTCAGCCAACAGCAGCAACCTTATGTCTTATCAAGAAATAACCAGATGGGGCCAGCAGGAGGTGTGGTGGTTAAGGCGCTAGACTCCCACGTGGCCGACCGCGGTTCGAGTCCCAGACCTGGCAACTTGGAAATCATGCCAGAGGAGTGTGCATGCGTGCCCCAAACCCCGAAGGAGAACGGAGAAGGATTCGTGGCATGACCATCCCGATCTGGGGGATAATTTCTCACTTTCACTCTCTCTCTCTGGCGAGTACTCATGTCCTATGGGGGAAAAATATTAAAAAGAACCCAATGACCTGCACATGATGTGAAATAAAGGCCGCAAGAGGGTATTCCTAAATTTAATAAGAAGTTGTGTAATTCATCAGGAATTGGGTCGGTCAGCTTTGTCTCTTTTAGGATATGGGGCAGGACACACACTTCATTATTTTAACTTGCCCAGAGAGGGACAGAGTGAGAGCAAGGGAGAAAGAGAGAGGGAAGGCAAACTGCCAGGTTGGGGACTTGAACCGTAGTCAGCCATGTGGGGGTCCCGAGCCCTTGACCACCACACCACCTACCGGTCCCCACACAATTTCTTCAAAAACGCGTCCGTGAAGCTCTGACCACGCGCCAGAACGCAAACGCAAACAAAACGCGTTCGTGTCCTCCCTCCACTCGTCTGCCCCCTGCTGGTCACGGCTGGTCATAGCGGTGGCCTGAGTGAGACTCCGCGAGCAAACCGCGCGGTGGGATCGCAGGTGCCGCCGCCGGCGCCGCCGCCTGCAATGGCCCTCCCCGACCCGGGGCTCTCAGGGCCGCGTGCTGCTCGCAGCCCCTCTCCCAGACGAGCCCGGCGGTACCTGGCCACGGCGGGGTCCTGGCGGAGCAG